AACGCCCAATCCTATTTATTTAGTTTTAATAGATTAAGATTCAATGTACATACTATTTTGTAGTTATCTGCTTGAGTTGTACACAGGGTTCACAACACGCATCATGCAATTGAATCTCACCTTTGTATGGTACCTCTTTAAGCACCCGAAAATGCATAGTCCGACATCACATATCTTGCAGTTCAGTTGCCTTTCAATTTCATCATCTTCAAAACAACGTATCATTGCCATTTTATGATATGAAACTACAATATTCGAATTCACCATCAACTTGCAGAAAATTGAATGTACTCTGTATCTCAGCTATGATGCATGTGTTGGTTACGACTTTAGAAAGCTCAATATTCTATCTCAAATGCAGTGGAAGGGCTTGGCACTGAAGAAGGGAACAAAGAGCCTGTAATCTTCCTTGAACTGAAATGCTTTCTCTTTTCTCTCCTCTAGTCAAAATGCTGAAATATCTGAAGAGTGCAACAAATATGTGAAACTTGCCAGCAAAGAACCAAATTATTTTATTGCTTCCAGTTGGTTTATGGCATCAGAGAATACAAAAATATTTCAAGTGGTAGATGCAGGAGTGATTTCATAATGCATAAAATACTCTGTGAAGAAGCAGGGAACAATTTTACAGTATGCACCAAAAATACAAGAGAAAATTAAAAATAGATTATATCTTCGTATAAATATTTTCAAATCTTATATTAAATTATGTGGCACTGTTCTTTGCTGATTAAAACAGTCATTTCATTCAATTATCATAGAAACTGTATTAGATACAAAACAAAACAAAACAAAAAAAACTCCATCGATTTAGTCTGCAAGCAAACTATACCAACTGAGTGGCCGTTGCTTGTTGGTGCAGTGAATGCCAAATTTAGCGGATAGATTGTGTCGTGTGGTCAGCGCAAGGAATCCCCACAGCCATTAATTTTGGGTTTCTAGACCAGAGCCGCTATTTCCTTGAAACAGCTCCTCAATTATCCTCAAAAGGCTGAGTGAACCCCATTCCAGACCCACTATTTCTCAGAAAATCTGGTAGCGCCAGGAATTGAACCCAATATCTCTGAATCTGTAGCCAGGAACTCTAACCACTAGACCACAGAGGAGGTCACTGTATTAGATACAGCATTTTTAAATATAACGTAAGCATCCTAACGGAACTGACATTTAAACGCAGAGCAGCAACAGGCATTTAAACGCAAACCAGCAGTGGGCATTTAAATAAACTCCAGCCAGCTCAAGCTAACACCATGTTAGAAGCCCAGCGTTTAAAGATTAAGTGTTCTCGGTCTCTTTTCAATAGTTTTTAACCAGTAACAGCTCTCCATAATGGCTATTCCTCTCCAGTGTTTTCACTAGACGTTTCCTGGTAATGAATCTTGGCACTGGAGATTCTTCAGGTTCTGTTGCCCCCTGGTTAACACTCCACAGCTGAACCCTCAACTGCACTGCACTCGCCCACTCAGCACAACATGGTTGGTCAAGTCACACAGCCCTGAAGCACACCCACAGAGAAGACTGCCTGCATTATCTCGTCTACTGTTGTGTAATGTCACCATGCATGTGTATGCTGCAGGCACTACATACCAGTGGCTAAACATGTCATGTATCATGACACCTCCTCTATTGTTGCGTGTGGGCATTACCTAGCAATGGCTGATGTATACAGAGTTTCTCTTAGCAACGGTTCTATATGTCACAGGATTATTCATTGTAGTAAAGTGAGAAAGCATGTACAGTGTCCAGAAATTTCAAATTCCTGGACACTGCATGATTGCAGACATACATAAGCAAAATTACTCTGCAACAAATGCCACACCTACTCAGAAAGACTAACCCCTCTTCTTGTCAAGGAGAAGATCCCACTTCAAACATATAAATTGTCCTAGAATAAACAAATATTTGAGGGGCCTGAAATCAAACGACTGTGCCGGCACGAACCAGTAGCAATTTGCTGGACTGGATTGGAGTTACACAGTTGGAGGTTGGAGTCAGCAGTTAGTAATTGTGAGATGCAAGTAAGCAGTGGCAGTTCATGGTTGGCCATGAGGAACCTCCACTGCTAGCAGCCGCTACCTAGAAACAACTAGTGACAACAGAATAAAAAATAGAAGACTTTGGATTAATTTATAGTGTGTGTAAACTAATGAACCTGTTATAATCATCTGTAGTTAGGCCTTATAAGCACCAATAAATCCAATTACCAATCAAAACTCCATATTTAATCACTACAATATGACAACTAGTGTCAGAAGTGGGATTGGACTGTTTCAATAGGATTGAATTGTTGAGCTTATATTAATGTGCATCATTGGACTGGAACCCGTGACAGATAATCATGCTGGACTTGGAATATCTGGTAGCCATGATGGAAAGGCTGGAAGCCAAGACAGAGGCCAAGGTGAAGGTCACTGCAGATAAGACAGAGGCTAGGCTGAACACCATTGTGAGTATTGGCTAAGAAGCAATGGAGGCCATTCAAAAAAAAAAGATAGAGGACAATCAAGAAAAAAATAGATGCCATTCAAGCAAATAGAGACAGCAATCAAGTGAAAATGGAGGCAGTTCAAGAAAAAATGGAAACCACAACAGCACCTGCCAAGAAAGAAATGAAAGTTTGCCTGGAACAAAGGAGGGTCGCCACAAGAGCTAGATGAGAAAGTATAGAGACAATAAACGTCCTGTTGTCTGTCCAAAAATGGACACAGGCCCTCCACAAGGAACTGAACATGAAGATTGAAGAAATAGAGTTGTGGTTACAACTGTCCCTCAAAACATGGACCCAAAGCCTCTGCAAGGAGACAGCAGACACAGAGAAGGGCTATCTTCATTGGTTGAATCCTGTTGTCTCTCTCTCATGTGTGCCCACCCACCCACCTGCCACTTTCGAAAGAACTGTACCCATGAATCCAATGAAGAACATGCCTGATGATGAATACAAGATGACTAACACTGGATATGGGATGAGAGATGATAAGAAAAAGACTGCCAGTGAGAAGAGATGGACGCCGCCAGTGGGCGGCAGCAGCAGCAGCCTGTTTATAGAGGATCACAGCACTCAGGAGACCACAGTTGCTGAGGACTGAGTAAAGCAGGATGGAATGACCCACCTTTTGGCAGTATGGAAGTGTCGGCCATCTTACGAGGAACTGCCAAAGGGCTACCTGCAAAAACTCCCAAGAAGATAACTGACTGGAGAAACAAATAGAAGAAATGGAGGCGGCAGTTTCACCATTCATATCTCTTCAGTTACATACTCAGTTTGTTGGAAAAGCACAGCAATGACAGTCTACATGCCAAGGGACAGATAGCAGAGAGAGCATGTCTTGTGACCATCGCCAGGCTGGACATCATTGGAGGACTGACCGAGAGACCCACCCACACGGTATGCCCTGCAGACGGCATCAGAGGAGACCTTACCCTTCTTGGAGGAAGCTTTCGTGAAACTGGCTCTGGGGTAATGCCCACTAACAACCTGGATGTTCATCGCCAATATTAAGGAGGAGTTCATCCTGGGACTCAATATCACACATGCCCATGATGCATCCATGGACTTGAGGCTCCATGTGTTATGACTGGGCGATAAGGAAGTGCCACTGTGGTGCACCTGGGCATGATCATGTTCATCCACCAGTATGAAGGGCTAAAGTGAAGTAGCAGTGACTCAATGTAATAGTCAGAATGGTGCACCTAGAAGGGACCCTGGAAGCAGTGGGCAGCCTTGCAGGGACAGGTTCCACAGTCACCC